TTGGGTATTTTTTTTTTATTTATCTTACAACGGCCATTTAAATACATTTTCACTTATTATTTATCATCCATATTCCTTTTACTTCCTCTATTAAAAAAAAAAAAAAATCATATACTGAAATAGGAAACGTCAAACTTCTGCATTATTTCACCATTGCATAACCTTGGTTTATTAAAAGAGTGAGATGATGAAATAATGCAGTTAATAATAATAATGCTCTTAATTAAGGAAGAATTATATATAAAAACTATAATTTAATATAACAAAAAATAAAATAATTTTACATGGAAGAGAATGAGTACACATGAAACCTTAAATAATACAAAATAAACCTTCCTATATTGAATAAATTGTTATAATAGTATTAATTATTACAATACAATAATAATATTGATAACTGTTGCTAACTTTTTCATTATATACATCAATTCTAAAAATTTACAGAAGAAAAATATTCTTGAAAACACGTGTCTGTTTTATATAGTAATAATTATTGTAAAGACAGCCGAATAAATGGGAAAGGGGGAATATAGTATTGTGGCACGCATGGGGAGGGGATGCTGTTGGACCCATTTTAACAAGGCTAGGCAAAAATAATAGAATTTTAAAATTAAAATTTTATAAGTTGTTATAAATTGAAATAAAATAGTAAGTTATATGTATATTGTACAAAATATCTATTATCATTTCCACACACAAATTTTATATATATATATATATATATATATATATATATATATATATATATATATATATATATATATATAAATATAAAATTTGTGTGTGGAAATGATAATAGATATTTTGTACAATATACATATAACTTACTATTTTATTTCAATTTATAACAACTTATAAAATTTATAACAACTTATAAGGAATTCATTAATAGCATAAAATTATAAGACGTTCCAGCATAGCTCTCTTATTTAATATACTTCTAAAGTTAGACTTATGTCTTTTATTCTTTATTTTGTTGATACTCAATTGTAAATTTGTAACATTTGTTTATTCTCCGCATAATTTTTGTATTTGATTCTGCCTCTGTTTTAGAGTATTTTGTCTTAGTATATTCTGGTACTGTTCATTCATCTGATACTGTTATTTACTTTATTTAATCGTTTATTGTTATTTATTTTATTTAAACATCTATAAATATTCTCCTTGTAATACATATTAAGTACCATTCTTTTTAAATATCTTTAGCCAACACATATTGTAATAAGTTATATTTATAGTTATATACTAAATAACACTGTAATGCATATAATATGCTTTTTCATGGTGTATGCACACTTCTAAAAAATATACGCCTCTTCTGTAGGGTTACTACAGCAGAGAAAAAAAAAAATATATATATATATGTATATATATATATATATATATATATATATATATATATATATATATATATATATATATATATATATATACAGAGTATTTCAGGGTTAAGTGGCCAAACAGCAAAACTGAACTAAGGACCTCAAAACTCGGAAAAAATTTCCTCTGAAGGTATGTCTACAAACGCTTTGTTTAGGAGATATACCTAAAGATTTTTGTTGTTATGAATTATTGACGATGTATGAAATAAATACAACCTATTTATTTGTTCTAACTACTTTATTACTTAAATGTAAACATTAACATTCATATTAAATGATGTTCAAAGCGACATGCTCGGTATCTTTCTTCAACAGCAGCAGTGGCAGAATGGCACTGGATATGTGTTATTGTTTCACAAGATTCAATTATACTTCTTCATATGGAATTAAGGCCATTGACCGTAAGTAGTTAGAACAAATAAATAGGTTTTATTTATTTCAAATAGTGTAAATAATTCATAACAACGAAAATCTTTAGGTGTGAATATCTCCTAGACAAAGTGTTTGCGGACATATTTTCAGAGGAAATTTTTTTCTTGTTTTGAGGTCCTTAGTTCATTTTTGCAGTTTGGCCATTTAAACCTGCAACACTTTATAATAATAATAATAATAATAATAAAAAGGCTTAGCGAACCCAAAGGTTCGATGCCGACATCACTAATCGCTTATTACACACCTCCCTCCACTGTTCGCCGTCCAAGCCCAGTCCCTTCAGATCGGCTTGAACGCAATCTTCCCATCTTTGCTTCCGTCTACCCCTCGGACGCTTACCATTCGGCACAGCAAATATTAATCTTTTATGAATTCTCTCATCACTAAGCCCAACAACTTTACAAGCCCATTTGATTCGCTGCGATGAAATTACCTCAATTATATTACCCGGATACAGCTCACGCAATTCGGCGTTGTGTAACCGTCTGAACTCTCCGGTTAACTCATTATTCTTCGGTCCGAATATTCTATGCAATACTTTATTTTCAAAAACCTTAAGACGCTGGTCATCCCTTAATGTAAGCGGCCAAGTTTCGCATCCATAAAGAACTGTAGGCAAGATAATTGTTTTATAGATTCTAATTTTTAAGTTCCGGGACAAGAGGCGCGAACTGAATAGTTTTGTCACAGAAAAATAACAAGCATTTCCCGCCTTCAGTCTAACCTTAATCTCTTCTTCAATTTCGTTTTTTCTAGTTATCGTAGAACCTAGATACCTAAATTTCTCTACATGTTCAAACATATTACCATTTATATCGATATCACCAGTAGTATCGCCATTTTTGCAGCTAACCATATATTTTGTTTTATCCACGTTTATTTCGAGTCCTAGTTCTTTACCGGCTTTCATTAACGTTGTCGTATTTAGTTTTATAGTTTCAACTTCTTCGCTTAACAGTACCAGATCATCAGCATAGCCCAGCACGGATGTTGTCCCGCCCAGATCCAACCCTTTCTCGGTACGCATTACCTCCCTAATGGCATGTTCTAAGGCCAAATTGAACAGGACAGGCGAAAGAGAAACCCCTGTTTTAAACCTGAACGAACCTCAAATTTTTCGAATAAATTATTACCAATTCTAACTTTATTGAGTGTCTCCGTCAAGCACATCCTGACTAGGTTTACTAGTTTTTTTGGAATCCCCTGCTCGATTAGAATATTATACAGTTTCTGGCGGTCAATAGAATCGTAAGCCTTTTTAATATCTATATACAGCTGGTGAACAATACCGTTATACTCCAATTTTTTCTCTAATATTTGCCGTAAAGAAAATATTTGATCAATAGTCGAACGATTCCGTCTAAATCCGCATTGGTAGTCTCCGATAATTTCCTCGGCGTATTCCGTGATTCGACTGGTTAAGATTAAAGTGAATATTTTATAACATACAGGAAGGAGTGAAATTCCTCGATAGTTATTACAATCCGTCCTCGGACCCTTTTTGTGAATCGGAATAAGAATAGATTCTTTCCATTCTTCAGGTAATTTCTTGTTCACCCAGATCTTTTTAACCAACCGATGTATTTTAGAAACTCCAGCTTCCCCGCATGCCTTAATTAGTTCAGTAAGAATATTATCGGTTCCCGCTGCTTTATAAGATTTTAATTTTCTGATAGCTACTTCAACTTCTTCTTTACTTGGTCCTTCTATTAACGGTTCAGCACTCTGGTACTCAGAAGGAGGACACTGACCATATTTAAAATATTGTGAAAGTATACATATATATATATATATATATATATATATATATATATATATATATATATATATATACACATATTAACATATTTTATTAAGATCTGTATAAATTGAAATTATTAACATATTTCATTTTCATGTTTTGTTATTTTATTTTTGAACTTTGTGAAAAAACGTATTTATAAGTAAAATATTTTATTAAGTCTTATTAATTTTAAAAATTGAAAAAACAATGCAAACATTTAACTAGCAATAAAAAATAGATGGTAAGATGTATTCGAGTTAACGGACGGGAGGTTCTCCTCTGTCAAAGAAATAGTCAGAATTGTGAATAACATAATTTTGCAAGTCATTGTTTCTTCTAATGGTAATTAGTGGTTTTTTTGTTTCAGATCTTTTAGTTGCCCAGAGAACTATGTATTTAATGTAGACCATATTAATTATTTCTTTTTGTAATTATTCATTTTATGAACAACTAATATTTGTAATATTTTTAATATAAGTATTTATGAACTATAATTTAATAAAAATAAAAAGAGTTTGGACTAAGAGATCTCAGGGCTTAATTAAAACAATTGGAACAAATGTTGCCTTGTAACGATTGTAACCTGTAAACAGGTGTGAGGGCTGGTTATTAGTTTAAATAAGGGTCTGGTCCCTATGGTAAGGATCAAGTCACTACCTCTCCTCCACAAATGCTCCTGGAATCTCTCTGTCTGACAGTTTGATAGTAGACCATTGTGTTATTCTTTTACCTTATCTGCTCTACTTCCTCTCGCTCTCTACTCTTTCCTAACCTACTTCTTTTCTCCTTTTGTAGGATTAACGTGGTTGCCGCACATTTCCTGCAGTCCCTCTTGCGCCTTCCCAGATTGTTCATGGGAGTGTGAGGCCACCCATTATAATTATGTAATACAGTTGTCAGTACGTATAAAAATAAAATAAAATTATATGTTGAAAGAGAGAAGAAAAAAATAAATAAGAGAGAGATGATCGGGAGAGAGTAATTGTAGGAACTTAGATATTCACTGTGCACTCGACTGATTCTCGGTGAAAAATCACTTAAGACAAGCCCTGCGGAAGAGGGAGAGAGAGAGAGTGTGTGTGTGATGTGGGGCTCCTGATGGCATGCCCCAATACCCTAATAATATATGGTTGTGGTGCACAATATAAAAATGTTGGGTACCCCTGTTTTAAATCTTTATTATAAAAAACCTTACTACAAACAAAATAATAATCAGAATAACCTTAGCTCAATATTCAACAAAGATTGATGTAGGCTAAATGCACTTAAAAGAAAAATCATAAAGTAAGAAACTTCTTTTGAAATTATATAAAATAAAAGGTCATGACAACTAAAAACAGATCTAATGGAAGCAATAATAAAACTTATAAATTATTTAATTGTAAGAATTTGTTAATAATTACTTGGCTGGAAGTTTATACATATATCCTTTTCCTTCATCTGACCACACGAGTACTCTGTCAGGAGCTAAGAAATGACCACTTAACCAACGCTCACCTCGTGCAGCCATTACAGAGCATAAAACAGAAAAATCACCAGCATCATAGATCTAATAACAATACAATTAAATTAAATGTTAGTAGAAAAGAATAAAAAACAAACTATTTTTAAAACTATATTTAAAAAATCAGTTGAAGTGGTTTTGCAAACCTGCCAATACTTGGAGGTAACGATCAACACCGTTCTTTGATTCTGAGAGCAACAGCTCATAGCTAATGCATTCAGGCATCGAATTTGTTTACTTTCATTTTCAAAGATAGGTTCTTGAGGGGTTTTGATTTCAGTAATGCATAGAGTCCACATCTTGACTGTGCCAGTGGTACTTAAGGCCAAAACAACATCCTCTAAAACACACCATACATATCAACAATGTTATGCAACAAACAATTCTATTATATTCACTGACAATTATGTCTATTATATTCATATTCATTAAGAACAAATAAGACTTTTAACAAGAAAAAGATTCCCAATATCACAACCATCTTCTGAACCTAAATGGATAAGCATAGATTTTCATAAACAAAAACAAGTGCAGCAATAATCACTTCATGAAAAAACTAAAACTAGTAATACCTCTGACCAAATCATGTACTTGATTCTTGAATTATTCATAAATAAAATGAGAATTATGATCCTATTATAGATAAAACAAGAATGATTTGGTAAGATTTTAAAAAGAACAAGTTGGCTTTGCGAATAATTTTCACAGTATATTGTTCAGTGATAAAATGATGAATTAATAATAAAATAAAATAATGCAATGTATCATAAGATAGATAAATCAATTGTTACTTTCTCACTAATCATAATTGACAAAGGAAACAAAAATTAATTTAAAACTTCATTAATGGTTTGAACATCTATGCAAATTTTAATAAGCTGTATCTTTGGTAATAATTGTCCGATTTCAATGAATGTTTTTTTTTCCTTTTGTAGAGAATTTAGTAATCTTTTAAATAATCATGGGCATAACCAAGAAGAAAGTGTGTATAAGTTAATCAAAAATACAGTTTCTTTTCTTTCATAACTTTTTTGCCTGAATTTTCGGGGTGGTGAGACTATTTTTCCCGTCTGAAGGAGAAAAAAATCTTCAAAATGGGTGGCTCAATCTTGGGATTTGATGAGGAACCAACGAAGATATGGTTTATTGATAAAAAAACAGCTTTGATAAATAATATAAACACCTCATATCTCGATCATAGCGACCTCAAGTTGAGGAAATAAGACATGTATAACATGGCAGCACTACAAATAATGTGATGCTGTGTAGATGCGAACTCTTTACCTTGCATTACCTACATTTTTGTACTTGAAAATTTAGGGCCCAATAGTTTGGAAGGAACTATCTGGGTCTTTGTGTACGCGTCAAAATCTTCAAAGCCCAATTTATACCCTATCGATCCACCAATCTACCAATACCCCAATCCACCATCCTAGTATTGAAGTCTAGTAAAATGTTTATATCGACTTTATTTATCTTAAAAATAAAAGCAGAGAGTATGATTCGCTAATCCTCCATGAAATTCTAAACCCAATGGTACAACATTCAAGGTTTTTGAGCATGAGAGAAGCTTATATTTGGTACAAAACCGATTTCAAGCCTTACTGTAATAGTATATGTGGGAATTCTTAGCTCATTAACATAATTATTATAATTAAGATACCTTTCCTGTTGTTTGGTCGAAGAACATAAAGAGCACTTATCCAGTCAGTATTAATTTGGGAAGATAGAGTAAAGATAACTTCTAAACTAAATGGATCCATAACCAAAACATCAGCATAATAACCATTACAAAACAGTCTAACATCTTCTGAACCTTCCATGTGATATGCCTGAAATAAAAATTATTGTTTTTTAAATAAAAGTTTATTAGGTGGTAGAAGTTACATAAGTAACCAATATTATTTTTATTTTTTTAATTATTTTTACTAATAATTATATTAATCAGAATATTTGGAAATATGATACTTGTAAACATGCACAACAAAAACTTTTAGCCTGTTAATAAATTTCCAAACATCTGAAAAATAGTTGGAAGCGTAGATGGCCATGCTCATAATCAACAATTACAATTAAAGTAGCTTTGATTACATGATTACGACTACAGTAATTTTGAATACATGATTACAATCGTAATCATATTTCCATTAAAAACAGGTCACAATTTTGCTATATTTATATTGAGTGCTATTGTAGCATATAAACTTGGCTTGATCATTAAGTTTTATTTTCAGTTAAAATCATATAATCATTTATTGTAATCACGTCACAATTTCGCTATACTTATAGTGCTAAAGTAGCATAGGTACTTGGCGTGATCATTAACTTTTATTTTCAGTTGAAATAATATTATTATTGATTCCGATTTAGCCCATCTATAACTGGAAAACATTTATCAAAAGACAAGATCCTTAACTGTGTCCAGTCTGTTCATCATCTATAAAATCAATTTTATTTGATAGTGCAATTTTTATTTTTAAAACATGGCTGATGGAAGAAAGAATCTCTACTAATGTTCAAAGAATCTCAACTTCAGCAAAAAATGCCCAGTATTTTCAACTGATTTAAGTTCATACTAGAATAGCTTTTGATTATTTGCCATAATTCTTTATTCCAACTAACTGCAACAATAATTTGTATTCATTTTTCTTTCCAAGATCAATGTGTCAAGAATCATTTTTGACAAAAAATTTAAGTAGTCTTTTCACAAAAATAACTCAATTATTTGGCTAGTAAAACTGTACAATTTTAAATAAACCATTAATAGTTAACTTGCCTAATGAAATCATTTTGACAAGACCTATTGTTATACTTATAATGTTTGATTTGTTGGAATTTTTTTATCTGTCATAAGATATTTTTATTGAAAGATAAATCGACTATTATAAGAATTAACTTGCTGAGTAATGCGAATATTTGCTAAAAAAAACTAAAGTTGAATTATTAGAACCAAAATAAAATAATATATTAAATCTAATATTTAATATCAACCTTCTAAATCAGGTAAAACATAAAAATAAAATATAAAAAATATCCTTAGTATTCAACTATGATGTTTTCAAAGCTTTGTTTTACCAAAATTATATGAACTAAAACAGTTATATAAACTGAAAACAAAATAAGTTTAACAACTGAATAATACTAAAGTATTAGTTCACAAGTTTCAGGTCTGGTTGACAGGTAACTCAAGATAACATATTTTATTATTCTCCTTCCTCGCTTTTTCGGCAATCGCAAGTTTTTCCTGGGCCAGGGGAGAAAGAGGAGCATTAATGCCAAAGTTGTATGCCCCATGGCACAGGAAGATGAACTCATAATCATTTTATCATGTTATCTTCAGTTTATCAGTTGGCAGGCAATGCATGTTTGGCTCACGCATTGCTTGGCCTCTCCATCCTCAAGATTACATTCATCACACTGCAGATAGAATTTCGAAAGAAGTGAAGTGTATCGCTATGCAATCTCAAGGAATAAATAAAGCCCCAATAGGCTTTCTCTGTTGAGGTTGTAGTTCTCCTAGAGATTGGTTACATGATCTAATATTTGAAAATGTAGAGAATAAAATTTATACCTGCATGCTGGTGTGTACATATGGCAGCTTAACTAATTCCCGACAGCTTCCATCAACTAAATCCCAAGTGCACATTTCGCTAAAAAGTAAAAAAAATAAATGAAGAAATAAATGAATATTGATATCACCTAAAGTATTTTGAGCTTTGACTCACCCATTTTCAGAGGAGCTAACAACATAGTTATTATCAAGAACAACACTAGCCTTTGAAAGGCATAAAATTGTTGCAGTATGTCCGACTAATAAGCACCGTGGTGTCATCTGGAAATAATAACAGAACTCATTAATTTAAATAAACATTTTTTCTTCTAGGACATTCATTAAAAAAAATTCAAAAATAATTACAGAGAACTATAGTAAAACAAGTTTTAACATTCCACTAACCTTAAGAGTGTCTGGATCAACTTGCCATAAGCATATTTGACCATCATAACAACCAGTTATGAGAGTGCACTGGTCTCTAGACAAGTAGACACAAGAAACACAATGTGTTGGAGGATATTTTCCCCACAAAACAACAGGAACCACCAAATTTGTACCACTGGACATGTTTCAAATTTTTTTTAAAGCAAGATCTCAAATTATTTTCTTATTTCATATTTTCGGAAACGAAGAAATCATAATCACACCACAAAAATAAAATTCTAAACACTGATAACAGAACGATAATTGATAAGGTCCAATTCCACTAGTAAGAAGGCTACAACGGTTGTCAAAATGTAAAGAGGAACACAGGTATCAACTTGGTTTCGAACCTCATTGTCAATCTTGTCAAATATCGAGAAGAAGTTAATAACCAAGTTATTATCATCATTTCCAGGCTGTATGCTTTGAGACAACCTGTGTACGAATGAATTTTTATTTATTTTTTTATAGTAAATTTTGGTTTCTGTCATTTATAAATTAAGGATTTTTCATTATTTTATTCTTTGAAGTTAGTATTCCGTTTAGGATTAAATAATATGAGTAATAAGCGTGTAGACTTAAAAGAGTTTTGTAAGTAAAGATGTAGCGAGTTCTTATAAGATGCATCCAAATAATTCTTCACTCTATCGATTCTTACAACTTCTTACGTTAGTGCAAACAGGCAAATCATTGTGAATCAATAATGTCTTGTTGGTATTTTGCTTCACTGGAATAGGTTTAAGTTTTCATATAAGTTGCGATAAGAGAATTTCTACACCATTTATGCCTTGATGTGGTTGTCGCCCCTCCAAGTCGGCGTCCGGGGGCAATTGCGCCAGTTGCACAAACCTAAGGCCGCCACTGGACAGCCGTATAGGTATTGAATGAAAAATAAGTCCAATAGTGGCCTGGCTCAAAAATAAAACTAACAATAAGTCTTTTAACAATTTAGCGAACCATTTAAATCCAAAAACAAGGATGATCTGCCCACAACGAAATCGACTAATTGCTTCTCAAAAGGTTGAGGAGCCAGAGAAGCCGTAATATTCGTCAGCCATTTGGGCCGATTTTTTCTCGAAGTCGTTAATTTTAAAAATCAATTTGGGATCCTCTTGATGGATCCTGAACCAGTATTTCGCGGGAATGGATACAAAGATTCTGCTCCTGAAATGATATTTTTTTTTTTAAATTGATCACTGAAGCTTTAGCATTACCCTTCAATAAACCAACGAATGATTACATTTTTTTTTTTTTACTCAACCCCCTATCCACCATTTCTAGCATACGGGGAGGGGGTGTTTTAGAGGTACAACCAAACCTATTCTAACCAGAGTGGGAGGGGGTCTGAGTTTCATTCCGTGGGTCCGCCACGAAATAAAAGTAAACCACTCCCAAGCCGGATTAGAACCACCACGAGGATGCTAAAACGGGCAACGCTCCAACACACTCGGACATCGCGACCTCCAAGGAATGATTATCAACGGTTTAGTCGACAGTTTACGAGGGGTATCATGACGCCTTCATATCCAACGCTGTGAAACAGGGGAGGGTGGGGGGGAGGCAACTTTTCGTGGTGAAGCTCCCCTCTACCCAAAATGGTAGAATATAACCACGTTTTATGAAAAAAAAAATTATCTGTATAAGTATTATTACGGCAATATTATGGGCGGGATGACCGAACGGGCTAACATGTGTGCACAGCACCGCCGTTGCCCGGCAAGCTGATCTATGAAACAATGGATTTAAAATAGTCACGAGTTCGCGTCTCGGTGCCGTGGGTCTTTTAAATCCCCGCCTTCACCCCCTGGCTTGGGAAAACCCCGTATAGCCTTAAAGGCGAGGACCCCCCCCCCCTCAAAAAAAGTATTATTGTTGTCTAATTACATTTAATAGAACTTAAAGAATTAATTGAACACTATTTCATATAGGTACTTAGTTTTCTTTCTTGCTTCCGAAGTAATTACCGCAAAATTTACCTGCGAAAAAAATCTTTCGGGCTGAAGCCCCTTTCCCCCAAAATTAAATCCTGGATCCGTTAGTGCTCGACTGAACTCTGCATTTTAGAGTCAAAATGTTCTTATGGAAGTTGTTATAACAATTATACTTTGAAACAACGATCGGCTATAACGACGAAGTTTACTCAGTTACCCTTCAAAGCCGTTACAAACACTATCCACTGGATATATTTATTTAAATAATTAATAATATGGTAAATAATTAAAATGAAACGAAAACACATTGTGTTGAAATCAGCACTGTACCGGTAATGTTCAAGAGAGAGGAGCAGCTCACTCTTATCAACCGAGACTATGTGACACATAACCCCGCTTTCTTCTGGGGGTATTTGAATGGTTTGTAAGATGTCTCTAACAAATGTATATATATATATTTCAACATAATTATTTAATTGGGAATAAGGTCACTTATTAATTATTCAATAAACTAAACTACTAAATGTTCATTGCGTCTGTGTTTATTCGACGTTTCGATCCCGGTTTTTTTAAAAGTTAACAATGGAACCCTCTTCAAAGCTAGAACAACAAATAGCTCAATCGGTATACAATTATGCTGCCATATGTTTCTAATAATAATTGTTTCAAAATTTTAACCTAGAGCTTCGAGAAATGTATATATTATTTTTATATTTTTTTCTTTTTACATATACAGTAGCTCACAGTCAATAATTTTTTTTTGAAAACCTTGATTTTTTTTCCTGTTGTCATTACCGACCATGTAGATCTTCTGTCGCCTTAAAAAGCCTTCCCCATCTCTGCCTGTCTTGGACTATTTCTTTCCATTTATGTGCACCTCTGTTTTATATTTGTTGAATCTATCTATGCATTTGCTTTTTGGCCTTCCACGTGGTCTTTTGGCTTCTATTGAAGAATTCATTGTTATGTAGAGGCTTCCAGATGAATTGCTACGAGTTACATGCCCCACCCATCTTAACCTCCGTGCCTTCATATCATGGGATATTGATTGACCAGTTTCTGTAAGCAGTTCTGTATTGGTCTTTCTTCTCCATGTGTTAGTACTAAGATCCCAGATCTCTCCGGTTATCGTGCGGAGGATTTTCCTCTCAAATCTTTCAATATTTTTTTCTAGGGTGCTGGTTAGTGTTCAGATCTCATAGCCATATATTAGAACTGACTTTATCATAGCATTGTACACCCTTAGTTTAAGATTTTTCGGGATTTCAATACCTTTGAGAGGGAGAAGAAAGCTCCGTTTGCGCTAGTTATACGCTAGTCTATTTCTGCCCGTTGGTCATTCATTGAGATTATTGTGGAGCGGGAGTATTTGAATTTTTATACTCTCATATATTTTGTTTTGTCTTCATTTACTTGTAGACCACTATTGGTAGAAATTATTAAATAAATAGTTCAATTTATATTACATTGAAAACAATAAATTATTGTAATTAATAAACATTCTAGTAATATGTTCTTTTCATTATTCTTATGTTATGCTATGTTTTGTGTTATTTTTCTTGATGTGGAGATGTATGGCGGCTGTTGAATATTTTAAGTTTATTGAGTTTGTGCATATTTAAATTGAGATTATAAATAAATCTGTTGAAGAGTTTCTGCTTCTATTTGTTAAGAGGTCGTGACGGCCTAGTGTTGAAGCGTTGCTCATTGTATCATTCTCGTGCCTAGCGGTGCCGTACAGTGAGACGAGTTTTTATTGAATATATCAATTGAAAAAAAATTCATTTAGTGGATGTCGCGATTTTTCCTTAACTCGTCCCACTGTGCGTCGGTTCCGTCCTGGGAAGAGTTGACTTTCATTTCATGGCAGAGACCCACGAAATGGACTTGACCTTCCCACTCTGGTCAGAATAGGTTTGGCTGTACCTGTAGAACAGAGGTCTTCAAACTTTTTAGCCACCGGCAACATAGAGATCTTGATTAAGTTCAGTGGGGCGAATTGAGATGTACATTCAAGTCCGGTGGGCCATGGCTTGTAATTTAAAAAAAAAGTTTTCTATAAATGAAACTTCAGTTGCGAAATAAGCATTCTAAGAGAAAATAAACATGCAAACCTGTAATGTCATGTGTGAGTAATTTGCTAATTTTGAAAGTTATTTTAAATTCTACTGTATAATCAAAGAAACTTTCACCAGCTGGATTGATGGTGCTTGCAGACTATAGTTAGGAGACCCCCACTTTAGAACAACCCTCCTCCCCTCCCCATGTCAGAAATAGTGGGTAGGGGATTATCCAATAAAAAAAATACTCATAAGAGAATTCCTCTTCTGCCATTGGGGAAGGTGAGGAGGCTTTTGTGCTGGACACCATTTCCACACCAAAATGGTAAAATATAACCATATCTTATGTAAAATAAATAAATAAATAATAATAAAAGGCTTAGCGAACCCGAAGGTTCGATGCCGACACCACCAATCGCTTATTACACACCTCCCTCCACTGTTCGCCGTCCAAGCCCAGTCCCTTCAGATCGGCTTGAACGTAATCTTCCCATCTTTGCTTCCGTCTACCCCTCGGACGCTTACCATTCGGCACAGCTAATATTAATCTTTTAGGAATTCTCTCATCACTAAGCCCAACAACTTTACAAGCCCATTTGATTCGCCGCGACGAAATTATCTCAATTATATTACCCGGATACAGTCCCCGCAATTCGGCGTTGTCTAACCGTCTAAACTCTCTGGTTAACTCATCCTTCAGTAATCCTTTTTAATGTATATATATATATATATATATATATATATATATATATATATATATATATATATATATATATATATATATAAATATTTAAGCTTTCGGGCTGAAACCATTCCTCTGAAAATTAAATCCTTGATCCACTGGTGTCTTCTACATTTTTTAAGTGTCCATTAGGGTGTTAACTCAAATAACCAAGAAGCAGTAATGAAAACAAAAATATATTTAAATTAAAAAAGGTATACAAACAGGCAAAAATAAAATAAAATTTATCAAATAAATTAATTTGGTTCATTTGCCTAAATAAAATTTAAAGAGAAGTATCACTTATGTACAAATACAAGTTAATCAATTACATTGTATTTTTAAAAAGTAACTCAAGCTTTAATTATTCTGAGTCCACAAATTCATCTGAATTTATCGTTAACAGTGTTAGTTGCACTTCATTTTCCAGCCATTTTTTCTGGTAGGCTTGAGCATCAAATACTAATGGATGCTGAAAAAAAAAAAAAAAAATCAAAACAATATTTTATCAATTGAGCACTTCCTGGTCTTCTTCAGTTCAGACCTACACAACATATGTGTACCTGCTGTGCAAATTTTGATATATT